CACTGACTTTTCTCCCAGTGAGTTAGGAAAAGAACTGAAGAGAGGTCTTGCACCTGACCAGTAAACTTTTTTACTCTTTGGCTATTATATAGTGGGCAATAGACTTCTTAATCTCCTCAAATCTTATGAAAAAGTATTAGAAGTTTAAAATCTATGTATTACAGAAAGAAAAAACACACAGAAATCCTGAATAATTTATTCAACCAGGAGAGGTAATGTCCTCCTGCCTCTCTGCCTCTATATATTTTTTTTCTATATATATACGCACATTGATTAAGATATTTTCTGCTTTGTGATGCATTATGATTTTAGAGATACTTGCTATACTTCAATTAGGAAGCGACAACTAGCGAGTTAACTTTTTTAGCTCAGCATATGTGGGTATGTACAAACTCATGCATAAACATAAACCAAACTACCCTTGTGGAAAAAAAGGCTAATACCTTTTTAGAGCATAAGTGAAAAATAGCAACCAATGAAAACTAAAGACTGCATGATCCTAATTGCTGAGAGAATGACTTATTTGTCCAAGCCGCCCAAGAAGACAGAAAGCTGAGGAGTGGGTAGACATGTGAGTAACAAAAGATAACTTTACAGTACATCAGCTCTGAGAGTTTAATGCACTTGTATTAAAGCATGAGTGTGTGGAGGCGTATGCAGTGACAGGCGAAGAGAGCCGTGTCTGTTATGCAAGTGGAATGAAGCCAAGCACAGAAGATGAGGATTTTTTTTTTTTCTCCATTGACTTCAAACTCTGAGTTTACACGCACTGTTATAAAAGCAAATTTGCAATTCAGCTAACAGCCACAGCTTACACAGTGACAGAAATATACACTAATGTAAATGATCTTAGTATTTAGTAATCATATTCTCTCTGACCTTGGAAAACATGCTTTTGCCTCCCTCATATTTCTTCTGAGTTCTGCAGCAAGGATTGCTTTCCTGCCTTGTCATTTTGATTGGATTAATTGGTGAGAACCTTTATATCTCTCAACTAGCTCCCCCTTTTTAACATGTCAGATACTGTGTTTGATTTTACTTTCAAGCCTCAAAGACTCTTTTTAAGACTTCTTATTCTCTTCCAATAAACTTGTTTCCCAGTGCTGCGAAATCAATTTTCGCCCCAATTGATACTAATTGCCATTGTTTCTCTGCTAAGTCTCCAAACAAATGCTTTCCTACCATTTCTCATGATGCCCCTGAAGTGAGGCAGACTATCTTCATAAATGCCATCTAACTCCTCAAAAGTCTCTTGCCATGCTGTCTACAAAAAAGCCTGACATATATTTGCTAAGATCATTGTGAGTAGCCATTTAAATGTGGAATTCACTTGACTTCATTTTACTGATGAAAGGATTTGCTGGTGATCTGTGTAGCCATTGGCTTTTATTAGGGATCACCTGCATTCTTTGTTCTTTTTACCTGTAACTTTGACATACTGTTGCTTTTCTTTGATGGTTTAGGTTGTATGAAAAGGCTGTCTTCCATTTTTGTTGCTTACGAGAAAAAGGGCTAAACCAAACAATCAAATAATTAGCTTGCTATACCCATCTTTGCAACATGCAAAAGTCTGTTTTTGTCAGAAGAAATGAAAACTATTCACTACTCCAAGGTCAAATGTTACAAGAGAAATGTCAAAGACTTTTGAAAAGGCTTGAAAGAGTTGCAATTCATTAAGTTTGTCAAAGAGAAGATTACAAAAGAGAGAATATGTTTGCCTGACTGCTAAATGGAAGAAGTAGGCCAGCTGGAATTGGGTGCACTAGGACCATTGTAAAAATGACAAAAATCTTAGGCAATATATTGTTGTTATATAGTACAAAAAGCAGGATAAAAACAGCAGCTGCTCTGAGAATGGAGAGTTGGAATATAAGCTACAAATGAAAGATGGAGAGGAAAGCAGTAGTGCCTACACCTGTAATGCCTATCTTAGCAGCTATTTCTCATTTCCTTTCCTCTGCAGCCCATTAGATTCAGCAGCAGGACTAACACCTTCCTTGAACTTGCCGTCATCCAATGGAGAACTTGCTTCACTTATAAATCATCCGTGTTTGTGATTCCAACGCTCAAACTGACAAATCATCTCAAAGAGTGCATAATACTGATAGTTTCTTCCTGTGTAGTTAAGAACAGCTTAGGTTATCTGAAAGTATTTCAATCATAAGACTGGTTGAGGTCATAACACTAGTTCTATAACTACAGGCAGACAAAGAAATCAAAATTAAATAGAAAAGAGAAAGAACTCCAGAAAGCAGGTGTACCAGGAGCATACACCTGGTACAAATCAAAAATAGAAGACAGGAAATAGTACATTTTTACATGAACTTTCTTGGTTTTAAGTTTCTTAACATACACAAAACTAGAGACCAAATTCTGCTCTGGAAAAAACAAAACAAAACAAAACATATTTAGACAATTTTATTTTATTTTCTACCTCATGTTGCAATAAAATATAGAGAGATGTTGAATAGTATGGCTCCCATGGAGACTTTGTGAAGACTTAGACAACAGTGTATGATTCACAGATTAAGTTTACAGTAGAGAAAGCTAGTCAATGGAAAACACTGAAAAAAAGTGTTCTCAAATTTCTTCCTCTTCAAGGCTCTTTTCTGTCAGGGTTTATGTCCCAAATCTCCTTCTGGAAGGCAAGTGCTAAATCCTTTCATTTACCAATAACGCTGGATTTGTACCTTCAAGAGGAGGAAAACATGGTTAATTCTCTGAAACCCAAAATCTCAGTGTATAGACTGAAGAGAAAACATTAGAAAAGTGATAAAACGTATTTGCGAGCTCAAGAGAGGACACATCTTCTATCCTTTCTATTAGAGCTTTTCAATCTTTCACTTAAAATCAACCAACACCAATTCCCTTCCCCCTTTTCCCTCTCCCCTCAGATTCACAAGGCTGAACAGAAAACACGGAAAGAAGGAAATCCTTTCATGTTGATCATCAAGACAGTTGTGCATGGAAAAGATTTACTCCAGTGGCTTTATTAAGACCTGATTCATTATGGCCCCTCACTACAAGAAAGACATCGAGGTGCTTGAGCGAGTCCAGAGAAGCTGGTGGGAGGTCTGGAGAACAAGTCCTACGAGGAGCGGCTGAGGGAGCTGGGCTTGTTCAGTCTGGAGAAAAGGAGGCTCAGGGGTGACCTTATTGCTCTCTACAGGTACCTTAAAGGAGGCTGTAGCGAGGTGGGGGTTGGCCTGTTCTCCCACGTGCCTGGTGACAGGACGAGGGGGAATGGGCTTAAGTTGCGCCAGGGGAGTTTTAGGTTAGATGTTAGGAAAAACTTCTTTACTGAAAGGGTTGTTAGGCACTGGAACGGGCTGCCCAGGGAGGTGGTGGAGTCACCATCCCTGGAGGTCTTTAAAAGACGTTTAGATGTAGAGCTCAGTGATATGGTTTAGTGGAGGACTTGTTAGTGTTAGGTCAGAGGTTGGACTCGATGATCTTGAGGTCTCTTCCAACCTAGAAATTCTGTGATTCTGTGATTATTTTACTCAGTACTTTTAAAACACATTCCAAATAGAAGGAAGTCTAATTAGAGACAATTAGGGACTTATAACAAGCTACCTAATTGTTTGTTTTGGTCAAGAATGATATACTTCTGTAAGATTTTAGGTCCCTGAGGAACTAAAAATTCAAGTTGAGGTGCCTGTCTGAATATGCTAGCCTCAGTAATTAGGTAACAACAAGGTGGATATTTTCTTGACTGCAGTTTTTAACTTAGATATCTAAATTCTGTCAGAAATTACTACTTTCCACATATGGGTAGTGAATTTGGAGTTCTTAGAGATGGAGATTCATTGTGTACATAATGGGGAATCGCTAAATTTTAATCTACCAAAGTAGACCTTAAAAACTTCTAATCTTTTTTAAAACTGCAACTTTTTTTTTTTTACAATTATATGGTTTTTATTGGTGATATATAGTTACTCTTTAATAATGATATTTAAGAAGAAAAGCCTACTTCACGTGAGTTCCTTCTGAGTTCATTTATCAAATTTGTTTTGATAAATAACACATTGAAAACCTCTTTTGGGCTAAGATGTTTAATTCTATCAAACATTAAAAATCATAATCTCCTTATTAAATTTATGATATATGTTAGCAATCCCAGCTCTGGTTGGGATACCAAAAATGATGATTTTCTGTCTTTCTTCCTATAGGTCATAAACAGGTTGAGCCGCATAACGAAGTTAAATTTAGAGTAAATGCTTCAATTTTTTTTTTATTTTTTTTTTTTCCTTATATACCCAACCTGGAAAAAGTCTCCTAAAATAATGCAACTATTTTATATGTATTTTATATGTCCCTATAAAATTGTCCTTGTGTGTAACATTAGACCAAAACAGCTACAAAACCACTGGTACTAGAAAACTTCATGAAAGTCTTAACAGTAAATAGTGTTTGCCCATCTGCTTTTTCCACAAAGTAACAGATTTTATATTATATGGTTGTATATATGTGATGCATGTGACAATATATATGTATTTTTGTGCAATGTATATAATAGAGTAAATAAATCTATATGCTCACTTTAAAATATGAAAATGTGTATGTTGCAATTATGCCTTAAGTGCATCATGAATGTACAATAACATAGCATAATTCATAATATATTATAATAAGTCACATATAGAAAGATATGAATAATATCTAATACATGTATTTCTTGAGAGTATCATGGAAGATGTTTGGTTTGTTTAAGTCAGGGTTCAATATTAAAATTTCACAGTCATACAAGATTTTTAACTTTAAAATCAAGTAAAATTTAGAGTTAAGTTGGATTCTTTATGATAAATATATGTAGCAATGTTTCTAGCTTTGTATAAGTGAATCTATTCTCATATATATAATTTTATTTATTTTTTAAATTCATGATAATCTTGGTTAAAAAAAGGAGGGGTAGAAAGAAAGCTGAAATATGACATTATTTGTTCTAGGGATCATGAGGTTCCTCTTGTCCTCAGGTTAATTATTCACACCTGTGTGCAATTCATTCAGGTTAATCCAGAGCATGTGATGCTTCAATTTGTACTAACCTCAGAGATGATAACTTGCAGCTGTACTTTAAGGTACGCAGTAGTATGAAAAGTAGAGGTCTATAAAATGAGAAGAAGTTGAATGTTTCTTGATTTTTTTAAGCTGGTAGATGTTTAGAACTGTTATCATTAATTTGAATGATTAAGTTTTACTAATATATAAATACGTTTGAAAAAAAGCTGTTCTCTTTTTTCTAATCAGAAATAGAGCTGCTTTGCCTGTAGTACTCTAATAAATTTGTTTCAATGGTTATTTCTTTGATTGTTTCTATGTTGATGGAGAGAATTAGAAATTAGATTGTGATTTTTTTCCCTCCAATTTGAGTGATAAATAACACTTTCAAGTTTTCTGAATTTCACATTTTAATAAAACTTTCTCAGATTGATCAGTTTATTTTTGATGCTAAATATTTCTCTAATTTCTCAAAGCTTTTAACATTTCATAATTTCTAAAACCTGCTCGTGACAGAACAGCTAATATATTTTTGTTGTTGCTGTTGTTTTCTCCTTTTCTTATTTTTGGGTAGTAAAAGTTAGTTTGTATTCATAATGAATAAATGCGTTAAAAGTCCTGTCAACTTTTTTGACAGATGTAAAAATGTGATTGATTTCTGGCATGTGTTTATTTTTCCCCCACAGAGTGATTTTAATTTGCGTATTTTTTTTTCTTTCTTTTAAGGAGTGAGTTGATGCAAGATGGAGAGAGGAGAAGGAAAAGGGGCCTACCAAAAAATAGGTGAATAAGTCCTATCTTTCAATTGCTTACTAAAAGAAAAAATGAAAATAAACTAATTGCTGAGACTGGTGATGTGAGTAAAAAATAATTTCATTAACTTTTGTTGTGGTGCAGAAGTAAGGGGGAAGGAACAAAAGAGGACTTTTTGGGTACGTTAAGGTGGGGATAACAGATCTAGATGGTTCCAGTGTAAGCTCTGTACTGAGAAAAGGTGGATGTTGTAAAGGTCTTTACAGTGCAAATAAAAAAGCAGCACTATGAAAGTAGTATGAACAGTGCTATCAGAGAAATGGATTGTTTTACAACAAAAACAGTTGAATCCAGGAAAGTCCAGAAAAGCTTGTGGGAAGCCAGCAAGGGGTTTTCTGTGGACAAGACACATGCATAAGTGTCTATTTGATTTTTTTATGAAATATTACAAGCTAGCATAAAATATTCCTATATAGCCTAAATTTACTTTTCCAATTCGCATTGATGCTGGGCACTGCTTTTGAGTGGTAACCTCCTTCTTCCAGGACCCCCTTTACTATGCAAAATCCGTAATTCTGTTAGTGAGCTGGCTGGATAGCTTTGACTAAATTCTGCCTTTTGTTAGCTTTCTTAGTTTAGCCTTATGCAGCAGATATCCTGCAAATACCATTTTGGCAAAAGAAAATAGTATGTGTTTAAATGAAAACAAAGCTTTACACTTTTGGCAATAACAGCTGTTTTATCATTGAATATTTGGCTGTGTTTTGACATTCTGAAAGGGGCAACTTCTTTCAAGAGATATCTATCTTCCTGTATGATTCCAAAGCAACAAATGGTTCTTACCATGGTGGGCTTGACTAATTAACATGAGGGTGTTTTGGTTAGGATGTTTTTTTCCTGCCTTCTGAACACCTTTAGCACATCATGGACAATAGGGAAGAGGGTACCCTCCTCTTCCCTTTATGAGGTTACTGTCTTGCCAGAGATAAAAGGAAAAATCACATGATACTATTCTCCCTTCCCATGGCAGGGGTTTTGGAACTACATGATCTTTAAGGTCCCTTCCAGCCCAAACCATTCTATGATTCTATTCATTTCTACTTATCTCTTGTCTTTGCCACAGCCTTGTAGTAGCTCTGTTTTCAATCTCTGCTCTAAGCCTGGTTATATTGGCTACCCAGAAAAAAAGCCTTTGAATACAAAAAGCAAACCTTTGATGGTAAGTAGCATAGTAATCAGTAACACAGACCAATGATGGCAGATATGTTGGGCAGTTCAACTTAATGACTGTGTTGTTCAAATGTTGGGAGCGTTATGTCAAACCAACTCTACTCAGGATTATGGACTGAATATCTGTTACCATTTGGAGCATTTTTGGTGTGTTTCTGAAACACATGAGTTTTCATCATCAATCCAGCTTGTTAACTACTGTACTTTGTTCATGATGTGACGCAAGTCACAGTATATGGTTAAATATGGGAGATCTGCTTCAGAAAAGATGGACCCAATACAACCCACAGTCTTCCTTACTGTTGTCCAGTCTATAGGGTCCATCTCTCCAGTGTGCAAATACTTGAACTTCCCAGTTAAATTATGGAGAAAATGAGCAGACAGTGAATTATTTGACATGAGCAAAAGGACTTGTTTTCTTTTCTGAGAAACTGCCAACCTGTTTTTAATTACATTTTCTAAAAATCCACAGTCTGAAGCTGACACCAGCATGTGAAATTTCAGTCCATATGGTAGAGTTTGGTGAAATTAATGACAGATGACCTGCTGTAATAATGGATGCTGAGCTATCTTAAAGATGCTTGTCAGTATCTCTGCTGGCTAAAATACCAGAGGAAGATATTAAAACTGCTATTCCTAAAGAGAAGCTTGACAAAACACTGTGTTAAACTCAAGACTCCAAGTTAAGTTCATGAAATGTCAGCTCTCCTAGCGCTTGCTGTGTAATTTCATTTTGTGGCATTTGATGTATTTACCTGATGCATTTAGACAGACCTTGCATGGTGCCTCGACTGTAGTTACAGATATACATGTCTATATCTGTAAGATGTTAAATGCCACAGCATGAATGTACTGGTGTGGTTTTGGCCTCTGCTAGCTCAGTGATATCTTCAATGAACTTGATTTCATGTTCGTATTGGTGGCATATATATCTTCATTTCACTTGTCTACTTTGTGGAAAATGTCAGTTTTCAGTGACCAGGGGGTCTTTCACCAGTGTGCATACGCGGAGCCTGTGTAATGTGATCATTTACTGAGGTTGTTTTAGGTATTATTAAGCACATAATAGTAACTAACAAAGCCTATCAGAAACCATAAGATTTATTGTTCACAGTTCCAAATAAAATAGCCTCTCTTCTTACTTTTTCAGCAGCACAAAGGACAGTGAACAAGATCATGTTGTCCAGATGCCAACTTCAGGAAAAACAACTGTCCGGTTTTCCTCAAGGCACCTGGAGTGAGGTACAATAATGGGTTAAGGGGATAGTACTGCCACAATTGAGTCTTTATGGCTCTGCAAATAAAATGGATCTCATCCAGCAGGGCTGTCAGGGCAACATCCTTCAATATACAAATATTACATACATAAAACATTTAGGAAAAAGGGTCTAAAAAAATGTAGTGACTTACAATGATGCGCCTGCTGGCAGTGTGAAATTCTTTATGCTGCTGTACAATAGAAAATGGACTGGCTGACTATCAAGGACCTGAGGCATTTAGCACATCCACTGAAATACCCAGAGGTTGTATCTATATAGGAACAAGAACTTAAAAGTAAAGGTATTTGCTAATTAAGCCTCTGTCCATTTTGAAACACTGAATAGTACAATTAATCTGCATCAGGGCTTGGAGGCTATGGGGAATTATTTTGATGGCAAAAGCTCTAAAAATACAAAAATTAAAGTACTAGAGGCTTTGCAGAATACATATTGGTGGAAAGTGAAAATGTTTTAATAAAAAGCCAAGTGTATTGTCTTTGAAATATATGCATCTATTCATTATTTATCTGAATATATGAATACGCATACATCTATTTGTTTCCATTTCTGGTGAATATTCCTTGTGGGAATTTTGGTGTTTGCAATTACTGATGTACATAACTGAGCAATGGCAAAGATGTCTTGCCATTAATCAAGACACATCCCTATTATTTTAAAGGAATGAAACCTGTTCAGCTCTATGTCAGCCATAATAATTTGCCTAAGTTCTACCAAGCACTCAGTCTAGTAGCAGAGATACTTTACCTGTAAGCTATAAAGAAAGAAAGCAGAACTCTTGTGCCAGAGAAAGAATGCTTTCTTTCTCTACTCTCCTAAACCACAAAATGCTTCTAATGGATAAAGTGAACCTTGATGTAAGGAACCTAAGCCAAATCCTGCTCATTTCTCTGGTATTTAACTCTATTCAGAATAGTTTCTAATGAAAATTCTAATAATTATTAATGTTATAAGACAGCTTTTTTCTCTAAGGTATCATTTTCAGTAAGTCTAGATGTTATTCTAGAAAGACTAAAGTCAGGTTGCTCTGTATCCACCTTCAAAAGACAAAGGCAAATATTCTCTTTAAGCAAAATGTCATAGTCTCTTCAGTTGGATTTCTTTCAGCAGTGTTTCCAATGGATTTTTTTTTCTGCATTTTCTTTTTGCCCAAATGTATGCGTTCTTCAGAAGCATGTCAGGATTAAAAGAAATGCAAATGTATTCTGGTTTTATTTGTATTGTGAGGAAGGCAGAAAAAATGCATGAAAGCTGTCTCTGACACTTAAGTTTTGTGTTCAAGGTTACAATTTGTTCAGTGAGACTCTGAAGATAAACAAGGGAGCTAACTATTTGACGTGATTCATTTACAGTTTACCATTTATCAAAATATTTTTGCATACACAAAATTCACTTTCTGTACCAGGTACTCTGTTAATATAGTGTTATAATATGTTAATATAGTGTACTGACAATATATGATTATTTACTATAGAAATTATTTGGTTTATAATTAGAGTTTTTAGAGGCTACTGCTTTTGTTTCCTTCTGTAAGAAGAAGACCAAATATCTATTCTAATGCTACTGCACATCCTGGGTATGTCCACATCATTACAGAACAGTGTAATGGTTATACACACTTTTTAATTTTGAACAACACTTGTAGATGTTATTCTTGTAAAATGCCTGGTTACTTTAGTCCAATCAGGGATTCAACACTGTGGCTTCTCATGCTTTAGTAGGTACCTGTAGGCCTTCCTTGGTAGTGTGATTGTCCTGCTAAATGTACTGTAGTATAATTTTGACTTGCATTGTATTGTATTTGTATTGTATTTTAATTGTTAGTCCCTATTCTACACTCATGACTATGTAAAGAACTTGGAAAATGTTGGTTTTGAAAAACTGGGGATTGTCACAGACTCCTAATAATTTCTCATCTGACTTTTAACCAGACCAGAACTGAGAGGCTGGATGTCTTCCCTGAGGTTCACTAGTCCAACAATTTCTAAATCCTTCACATTTACCTAGAGCCAGCCATAAGCTAGCGCAATGGAATAGGCAAGCAATTCTGAGTAAAATGTGAATTCTGGAAGCAGACATTTCTTTAAAAATGTGTTAAAAACGGCTTGTCAGCTTATCACATATTTTTTCTTTACTCTGATCTTCATTGGCTTAAAATTCAAACTTAGGTAGTGCAAGTATTCAAAATGAAAGGGTGGGACCTACAGTCATACAAGAGTTTGACCAATCAGTACAGATTTCTTTGACGCATCAATACTGTGCAAAAACTCTGAGGAATTAGTGTCCTTTGGCCCATTTTCCCATATGTGGCTTCTCTATATCACCTATTGCAACTGTTATGTGGAAGACTAATAGATGGGTTTACTGTGGGTTTTAAACATGACAGATCTAATGACTTCAAGCAAGCTGAGAATTTTTAGAGCCTAAGAATGTGTGCTGGTAGGTAGGACAAAATATTGAGCTGTTAGGTAACTCTTAAATCAGTCCAGCAGATGTGGAGAGGCATGTGATGGGTTCTGTATAAAATCAATGATCTTCTGCAATTGATTTATGGCCTTTAAACATTAGGGCTTCATTGGATTTCACTTTCTTGCTCTCTTTTCTTCTCTCTTCCCTTTACTTTGTCAAGTTTTTAATGTATCAGCATCATTCACAAATACAGTCTGAAGAATGAAGGAAGATACACCTCTTCCCCCCCCCCCCCCCCATTTTATTCTTGTGAAAGTTAGGCTTTTGATTTTCCATATTTTTCTTATAAGTTTATCTATCAAAGCATTTGGAAAATGAATGAACTTCTGTAAAGTCTGAAAGAATTTCAGTTTAGAAAATTACATACACTCAACACAAAAATCTATGCTGCTAAAATTACCTAATGCCCTTTATCTTTAGCTGTGATATTTCATTTTAAACACATCTGTGGATTCAGCCCAAAATAATTGGTTTCCAAAGAATGAAATGGTGTCAGGGCTTAAGTATCCTTTAATTTTCTTTTTTATTTTTTTTAATTTTTAAATTTTATTAAAAAAAAAAAAAAGGAAAATACTTTGTATTATTCTCCAAACCTATGGCAAACCCATGTTTTGTTGACGAACAGGAGGAAATTGTTCAGAAATCAGATTAAAAAATCAGTAAGATAACTGTTTCAAGACAGTTATTTTGGTAGTAATATCAAATCAGTTTATAAAGACGGTGATTTCAGTTTCACAGTTCCTACGTTTTTGAAATCCTGCAATACATGTAGCAGAATAAATTTTAAAAAGAGGCAAGTGTGTCAGGTTTCCTTCAGTACGTGTTCTAATCCTTCCAGAAGTTGTTTGGGAATACTCTGTAATACTTCTTTCTACTTGAGAATTTGAGGACTTCCACATTCTATGCACTACTCAGAGTAGAGGAAGTTGCCATCAGTGTTTTGTGATATTTGTTGGTTACTGTGGTAATTTTTAAGAGTGGCTGCTATGTAATACTCTAGATCTGGTTTCAGATTCAGACTTTTGGAATTCAACATGTAGGTGTGGATTTTTGACTGTTTTTTTTTTTTTTTTTTTAAACTGATTTAATCCAAGTACTTCATAGGGTCATTTTCTAAGCTTGTAATATGCTTGTTGTACCTTCTCTTTACCTTCCCTTATTTCTTTTTCTTGCACATACAGTTTTTTTCCAGTTAACTGGCAAAGGTCAAATTACATAATATTGCTCCAGCTGATGTTTAAGATTCCAAAGATTTAAGTGCAATCATGGATTGGAAAGATGATATTTTAATGTCATTATATCAATATTGAATAGTCATACCTTGTAAATGGAGGCAAAGTTGGCACTTCTGTTCATGTTCTACAGGCCAAATGAAGCCAACTCCATTTTCTCATAACTGTGCTTCTAAGGTTTCTCTCATTTCTCTAATTTTTATAGACATCGTTATAAACTTAGAAACATCAAACACATCAGAGGTTTTTTGAAGTGCCTCTGTCATTTAAGAAGTCAAATTCTATTCAAACTTCCTTGAGCATGTACTAGTGTATATAATTTATATAGCAACAGAAAATAAATATAAGAATAAATAATATTTCAGAAAAAAAATAATAAATACCTACTTACCAGCTTTGAATCAGGGTTGCAAAAATACTATGAAATGAAATTTTGTTGGTTTGTTTGCAGTTGTTTATTATCTCTCAATCAAAACATAGCCCAAGCCAGTTGTACTTACTCTTCCTTCACCTCAATTACAAATAGGTTTAGTATTGAAATATTATCTTCCTTTAATTCAGTGCTTTATATTTGTGGGGTACCATTATGCAATAGAACTTATAAACTTCTCAAGAAATGAGAGAAGATCAAACTATCTCTTTCCTTGCACAACCATTGCTTTTTTTACTCACTACCCATTCCCAGTACTCTGCTGTCTTCCAGTTTTCTCAACCAGGACTTCCATTTTCTCTTTATCCTCTCTTCCTGCACCTTGTTTACTCACTGTGGATAAGACATCTTTAATTTCCTTACCACAAAATAAGTATGTTCTACTCTACTCTGTCTTTTCTATAGTGCACTTCTGTATTACTCCACTTAGTTCTTATTTATTTCCTGTTCTTTTTCCCCTCTCAGTGTAGCATTCATCAATGTATCACTTACAATCCACAGATCGCTCTGGATTTTTCCTTTGTTAGTTTGGATTCTGTTTTGGTACTATGTAGTCTTATGGACCAGTGGGATACCTCACATGTTCTCAAGAGGTCTCCACCACCACAAAACTACAAACGGAGTTTTCTGAAAACATTGTAAGAAATTACCCAGACTGCCATACAGGCTCCTTCTATTTCACATGAAACTGGTATGAATAGTTGCCAAGCACACCTGAACAGCTGAATGCTGGATCCCAGTTTTTGTGAGGTGGTTGTTGAATTAATGGTTTATGTGGTAAACATTCTCACTTAGATAAATAATCAATGTTCTGCAGGTAGATGACAGCCTTAGGCAACAACGGGAGTGATCGATCTTAGTTAAATCAGTATTCAACAAATTTTTGTCTTCAGGCCTCCTGTTTCCTATTGACACAAAACTTTTTGTCTCTTACAGCAGAAGTCCAGCCACCAGTTTTTCGTTATTGCAAAAATCCTCAACCCTCTGAAGACGGTTATTTTGCTTCATTCTCTGTTCATGACTATGACCTTTTATAACACTTTGTCATTTATTTCATGCCCGTACCACAGATATGAATGAAAATCTAGTCTGTTTCTATTAGCAGGATGAATGGAATTGTTCTTCAGTTGTACCCAAGCACCTTTATATTAAATCAAATTGCTTCATGGTCAGACAGAGTCTTTCTATTTTTTCCCCTCCTCTATCATAACAGTTGCTGGTAGTTGGAATACTGACAGAATTTCTACTGAAGCTCCTTTTTTTTTCTTTTTGAAAGTCATTGCTTGTTGTTTCGTAGGTTAATGAATAAAGCATTATTTTTTTAAGGCATTTGATTTTTAAAATGTCAACATGGATTTAGATGGGAATTCACTACAGGAGCTAACTTTCAGCAGCTTAACTGTGGTTTTAAAAAAAAAATATATATATATAAAAGAAAAAAAAGTCTTCCTGCTTTGTGATTTTGTGTGTTAGCTTTTTTTAAAAAGGATCTGCTTTGAAAACTGTTCATAATGGAAATGCAAAACCAACATTCAGTCTACATCACAAATAATCTCATGCATAGCATTAAAGTTTTATAATTGCTTACAAGAGGAGGACTATTCACAGGAATGGGAATCTGAAGTCAGGGTGACTTCATCAGCTCCAAAGTTATAGCTAGAGTACTGTAACAGTGAATGCCACGTTTAGGATGCCAATTCATTTTTTTTGAGTGTTTCTTTCATATGATTTCTGAGGTCAGAGTATATGATATGTATATGTTATATGATATGAAAGTATATGATAGCAGTTTTTAAGAAGGGAACTTTGCTCATTTGGGGTGCAATGCAAAAGACAGAAAAGGACTCTTGTATTCTAGTATGTTGAGAGATTTCATGCAGACAGCCCAGCAAAAATAATCTAGCAGTGTGACTACAGTAATTTGCCTTTCCACTCAAAGGAAAGAAGAGGGAGAAGCATAACATGAAATTGTTTTCAGCTTTGAGGTATGGAATTAAGGGAGACTTTATACTCACTCTGTTCCTATATAGTCAGCTCTTTTCAGCAGCTGAAATGAGTACATTAGGACAGGCTAACAGTTGCTGTGAATGGCTTATGATCTTGTTCTTCCAAGCATGTTTTAAGAGTAGTGAATCTAAGCCAACAACTTTTTCATTCATATTAACTCAGAAAATAAATGTTCTTAGTTATATGTAAATCCTTTTTTCATTGCATTATTTTCATTCTCTTTTTGTTTATTTGGTTGGTTTAGTGTTTTATTTGTTTGTTTGTTTTTTCCCTTCTATGTATAGACATTCTCCAGAGCTTAGCTTTTCTGTTGTTGAAATTTATGTTACAGTCCAGGAGCTTCGGTCTTTTCCTAAAGGCTTGAAGTTCTAGAGCATTGGCAGCACGTTTTCTTCGTGGCAGGTATTTAAAAAAGAAATACTCTTTTTTTTTTTTTCCACAAAGTTTTATACTGTTAAGCTTTTGAAAATGATATGGTCAAGTATGAGGAATTATGACTCTATCAAACAGTTACAAGTTCTCATCAATATTATTTTTACTAGTTGACTGAAGTAGTGCAACTTTCTGTTTCTGACAAGCGTCCTCCGATCTTAATACAAATATTAAAATCAGTCACAGATGATCTTAACAGCATGATTTATTCCTTCAAAGTTTTCATTGTTTACACACTTTACCCAGCTTGGGCATTTACTTTCCTGTACCCATTTATGCAATTCTCTCTGAAGGCTTCATCATACCTCATTGAGGCAGGGAATTAAGATGTTACATGAAAGGAAATATAAAAATTAGCAGATTTTCTAGCAACAAACCTGGACAAATCTGCTACTGTTCTCCAGGTATAATCATTTTGTGTTCTGGCATTGTGATGTTTCCATGGAAGAATACCTTTCATTGTGTTAACCCAGAACAATACTATCCTTCGTGCTGCCCCATAACTGCAGTATACTGGATAATGAGCGGGACCCTTAGTTTTAGCAACATGTACATCACTGTACCATATATCAAATTTATCAAAATTGCATAGCATGATTACTCAAAATATCAAGCTTTCTTATTTCCAAAACGATAAGCATTCTGAATTGTAGCCCTATCTTGAAGAGTCAGTTCTTTCACTGGTGCAGTGTTAGATTTCAGTGCGCACCTTATTGAAAACAAGTTCAGTTAAGATAAACTTATGTAACCATGCTGTTATAGCATCTTGGGGCTGAAATACGGGAAAAACAAGGGTGTTTCTTACCCTGTGAATATTCATGCATTTGAAGAGATCCTGAATTTGGAGATTTAGAGCATGTTTTCTACACCAGACATTTCTTTTTAAAAATGAGTTAAAAACTTCAAACAAAGGAGAATAGTTATGCTTAAAAGAAAAAAAAATGCATGAAAATAGAATGCGTTCTGATGATTATGCCAGTGAAAAGTGGACGTTTTATGAGATATACACAATTTTAAATTTTTTGACAACTTGATAGTTTTGAAAGATGCCTGTTGCTATTTAATTTTGTAACTTTTTACTTGCTTCTAATGCAAACTACCAATTTTTAAACAAATTATAAGTCTAGCTAGAGAAGGAGACAATGTCATGACTATGAATTCTTTAAACTATGTAGGTAGACAAATGCTCAGATTAACCAAAATAATATGAAAACCAAAAACAAGCAAATAAAACAGTAACTCATTGGCGGAAGTAAATCTTTTCATCTTTAAGTAAGAAAAGCTGCAAAGCAGAGTTACGTATGTGGAATCATTTTTTTTCTAGTATGGTATGATAAAATGTGCATCCATTTATATTTTATAGGAACAAACATACATGTAGATTTAGCATGTAGACAGCATACAGCTTCTGATGTCCTTTTGTTTTCTTTTTACTACTTTTAAGTGATTGAGTGTTGCAAATAGCCACATTGCTTAGTTTTCAGATTAATTTTATGGCCCTTTTCAGAATGGAATAAGGGTCTACATGAATCCAAGCTATGGATAACGTGGCTGGTATTTGGGCAACAAGTTTGCCTTGCACAGTAAAGGAAATGGATATCTCGTAATTCCTATGAATTCTTCTATTCTTCTTGTAGGATTTGCCTTGTAGGATTTGTGGCGTGTGTGAAAATGCCCCCTGTGATAATGAGAAGTGATTTAAAAAATCATATTTGGAAAAAAAATAATTATAGTATCATGATATTTTCCACAATATGCCTTCTGGGTAAGGACAGAGAAGTGAAGAAAGGACAATTGGTCAAAATAATAAAGAGGAAAAAAGATCACTATTACCTAAAAAGCTCTCATTTCTTGGTTTTGCTTGCCTTTTTAAGATGTATTACAGTTCAGTAATAATGGTCTTGAACAATACCAAGGACACCTTATCAGCAAATGATAAACTGACTTTTTTGAGTCAGCTATAAGTTTCGTTCATGGAAGTTCCATTCTTTCACATTTATTCCACATAAAGTAAATTTGCTGTATAATTTTGTCAGTGGTCAGCTTTAAAAACAACAACAACAACAAAAACACAACCAAACAACAAACAAAAACACAGAAAAGGTTATCTCCTCACACCCTTGTTGATATTCAGTCTGCCACATACAAAAAAGTCTCAAGTTCAATGTGATCTAATATGCAGTATATCCTGCATCAGAAACCTTAGGTAGGATTTATTAGAAGAAATTTATTAGCTAGAGATTATACTATGCCATCAGTATTTTTTCCCCTTTTATTTGATTATTTTCATTCACATGTTTTAGTTCTTCATGTTGGTAAATTCACTCAAACCACATTTTGCTTGTATTGTGCTCCCCACTTTATGGTGTGGTGTAAGTATGCTTTATTCTACAAGGGTGATTTTGCTTATTGCTTTTGTAGATGCTGACCACAAATAGGTGTGTGTTTGTTTGTTTGTTTGTTTTTCTTCTCACACCAGTTGATACTATTCAAGTCCCTTTTTGTGTGGAAAATGTTATATGCCTCAGACAACTGAAGACCGAGGCACATAAGTTTCCCCAAAGTGCTTCATATGTGTGATTCCTTTAACCTATCACAATGAGTTCCTGGGAAGTTACAGACTTGCAGCTGCAACTTTGATCTATAATTCAGTGATTTTATGAGATAAAATGTACTAGTGAAAAGTATTCCGATAAAAAGCTGAGTATTTCAAAACAAAACAAAACTGCATATCAAGCCTCTCTTTTTCGAACACTTATCTAACTTCTCATTACTCAAAATGTTAAAAAAATATTTGCGTAACAATTTCAAAGATAGGAAAATAGTTGTTTACCATCTTGTACCATTAAATATACTGGAATTTCAGTTGATATAGTCTTACAGCTAATTATATGTTTTATGTAGTGTTTTTTAAATCTTTCATTATCAAATAACTTTTAAAGGGATAAATCTATATGTTCAAAACCAAAAGAGCTGACTGATTTACAACTGTTTAGATGCTTGCATGAATTTGAGGCTTAAGAAAGCTTAACCCTTAATTCTTCAAGGAGTTATTTTTGTTTCAAAAAAGGAAACAATAGGACAGTCTCTCCATGGAATAGAGGCAAAATGGACTTAACGCGGGCACGTAGTTAACAGATTGTCCAGTGCCTTCTTCTGAAGTTATGACATTTTCTGGTCACACTAAAATGTCTCCACTGACCTGAAGGAAGACATGGTCAAGTGACAACTAATAATATTCTGTAGTTAAGGAAGCTTATTGTAATAATAAAAATAAAAATAAATAAAAATAAACTACAGAGACTCTGCCAGTTTAACACTGATGTGAAAAAAATGTAGTTTATTGATTGGAAAACTGTTGTAAGATTTATTATAGATTCACTTTATTACTGTTGTGAAATACAATTTTGTGCTTCTCTTCGTCCCATAGCTCTCTCTTGAAGAAAAAAATAATAAATCAAGCACAGATCAGGCAAGAGTCATCAGCTGCAGAACGAGTTTTCAGTTAAGAAACTGAAAACATGGATACCAGAAAGCAAGCAGCCCAGTTGCTGGGAAACTCATTTAGGTTGCAAAATCTCACATCTGTTCTCTGCCTTGTTCAGTTAAGGAACCTTACTCTTAAATCCATGTTAACCATTAAGTCTTCCTTTATGAATCCAAGGATAAAGGTAGTTCTCCAGATCTGAAGGGTGTGAAGAGCTGTGCAAACACACAGTCTCTCTGTTGATAACC